GGGCTGCCCAGCTTGGACGGGCGGTAGCTGTCCAATGAAGTGCGAAGACTTCTCCCACCGTCGAGAGGAAGCCCCAGGTACCCCGCTCCTACGTCTGTCTAGCGGGGGTTTTTGACCGGTAAACTGCCCCTCACCGTGTTTATTTGCTGGAGTGGCCTCTCCGGGGGCGGGTGTGGATAGAGGAAGGAAGCCAGGAGGTGCCCAAGCAGCTGGCCTTGTGAGGCTGGTCTTCGTCTAGCCTCTACCCGTTGACCTTTCAGGCATGATTGGATCTACGGCTGTGAGAAGCCATCCTGTGTAGCTATCCGGTCATGGAGGCACGTCAGCCATCACACCACGTCAAGGTGCAGTCTCGTCGTGGCAAGAGGCTACACCTGTCCTCACGCTCATGAACGACCAGTTGGAAATAGTCGATCACTTTACTTATGTCGGGAGTTGTTTCAGCTCAAGAGGACTGATGGAAGAAATATCAGCGCGCATCCGCAAGGCTCGAGTGGCTTTCGCTAACCTACGTCACTTATGTCGTCGACACGATCTCAGTCTCTCTTTAAAATACCGCGTTTACAATGCCACGATACGCACTGTTCTATCCTACGGCTGCAAGAGTTGGCCCCTCCACGCAGAAGATGTACGGAGATGAAATGCTTTTAACCACAGTTGCCTTCGTTGCATCGCTAGAATAGGTTGGCAGCATCAAACCACCAACGACGAGGTTCACCGAAGAATCTTCATCGCAGACAATCTCAGTCGTCCTTTAAGTGCTGTCATCTCGCTCCCAAGACGTTGATGGCTAGGACGTAGGATGTGGATGCCAGCTTAACGATTGCCCCATCGTGTTATGTTTGCGCAAGCAGACACTAACTGGAAGCGGCGACAACATAGGTAAAGAATAACCTGAGAGAGAACAATGAAGGCGTTAACCTCAAAACTGGAAGTGGTAGAACACTCTAGACTCCCTGGTTAGGGTCCTAACGACAGAGAACATTTATGGCTTCAGAAACTTCCAGACATGGCTGGTAACTAGTGTCAATGGGGTACTTGTTGCGAGACTCATTCTTTGACTCATATTAAAACCGTTTTTACATCTCTTTCTTCATATGTTGTGGCATATCTGCCAATTGTATGTAATTGTTTAGGTATTAAATATATAAATAGATATATACGTAGTTACATTAGTCGCATAGAAACTGTTTACAAACACCGCTGGCATGTGACAAGATATCACTGACAGCCTGGTTCCATTTGGGAATTTGTTATCCATTAACACATAATGCACCTTAACTGGTGAAAGCCTCAGTCATATCTATTACGTACTTACCGGCCTATGAGAACCAGTTCAGCATCCTTGGCACGTTTCCGGAAACGTTTGTATATATCCATGGTGAATAATGTGCTTGCCGAATTGAAGATTGATGTCAAATCAGAGATCAGTGCAGCCAACATGACGGCTAACATGAGCCCTCTTAAACCTGAACAGGGCGAAAAATGCAACATCACGGGATATTTACCGGTCACAAACAAATTATGTGGTCAGATTGATTAGCAACCGGCTTCTGGTTTATTCTATCCAACAGAAAGTATACTTATTCTCTTACAAGACGAGCAGGTGCAACATTGGCTCCTAAAATAATCACATTCGATGACTAGGTGGATGATTGAAAGAAATTGTGAGATTGTTGTAAATGATTTGCAGCAATCCCGCAGGTACCATATTCGAACCCACGTTTGTCGCCTTCTCGGAGACAGACAGCTACATTATCACTCGTCTGGACACGACTCTCATATTATTGCAGTCCTGTGAGGCTTATTACCTGAGACCTCGATGCACATGTGATAGGTTGTTGGGAATTAATAATAATAACATAATATCATTGTTTCCGCATGTACCCCTCCTACCAAATGTTGATAAAAGCATGCGTAACAATTCATTCAGATCAAAAATACATTTCCGGGTCAGCTGGATAGTGCACCGTGATTGGTTGAGGGGGCTAATTGTAACTTACCCGATGGCATTATTCCAAAGACCAATTTGGGATAGGCCATATCAGCACAGCCGCTCCGATGACCACATTTACTAAAACAATCATCACCGGGAAGGCAGGCGAGTTCGTCTGTCGAGAAAAAGTTAGACAGGGTGACAAACAAAAGATGTTAGAGTAGGCAGGTGTAAAACGGAAGAAAACAATGGTCAGTGGAAACCCCGTGATGGTTCAGATGTATTCAACACAAAACAAAATGAATACATGCGTGAATAGTAAATCTGGAAAATGATTAATTCAAATCAATACCATTTATCTCACACCACTATCCTCAAGTAAATGCGAGTTTAAATGAGATTAAAAAGGGAGTCCAACTGTTTCGATTGGGATAGTATATCCAAACATTCAAGGAAGACCTGATCTGATGACCGTGTTCTAATTTTTTGCACACAAATGAACAGGAGTGTGTTTGGACATAAGGTCAGGTATACCTACGATGATTTCGCTTCCAAAAATCTTCTAGTGGATTCGATGAAGGTTGGCGTAGTCTGTAACCTTTTTAATTGGTTGGTTTAAGTTCAATATGGAGGGTACAGGCACTCCATCAAAAGCCTTTTCTTCAGTTGTTCCGTAATAAAATTCAGGTTCTTTTTCAGAAACAAAGTTGTCGAGCATGAAGGACGTCGGCAGTTGCTCAGTGGTCCGGAGGTTTTCCCATGCTTAGAGAATACACTCCTATGTGCTTCGTTCGGTCTGTCAACAGGCTTTAATTATATTGAATCTGTTTGCTTTTTACATTCCTCTCATTCAAATCACTTAAATTGAGCTAGAGAACGCGCATCGCCTATAGAGATGAGCCGTGGGCCTAAATAAAGAAGCAGGACTGGAAGACGGTTGTAGTTGGGGTTAGGTCGACAGAATGGAGCATTCAGTTTTGGTTCGTAATTGACCTAACAACTTTTGCCGAATTCCCGTGGAACTACAAAACAATGTTCCTGAACTCCTTTTGTTATTTCAGTTGCTGCTCATCGTCATGGAGACCAAATATCAATCTTGGTGAGTTAACTACGATTGGATTATTTAGTGAAACTGGTTCAAGATCAATACGAGTTTGATCTGTCGATAAGAAACCATGAAACCTGAAGATCGGTGGAAGGTTTGCCGTTTTATCCAGCAAGACGTAATACTTTGGTTTGGAAAACCCAGCAGTATTCCGCCCACGAGCAACTCATCAGCCAATTTATTTTTCACATAAAGATTGTTGTAAATTGATTATTTCGGCATACATTCTGGAAGCACGAATCATGATTATCAAGACAATAATAATGATACTAATAGTTCAATAGCATAATACGGATTGACAAATTAATCTATATTGCTACTTAGCAACGCACTTTCGATCGCAATGAACGTTTTACATTGATTTAAAAAGTGTTGTCATTAGACAAATTGTTGACAAACCGGACAGTTCCGTGACTGAATTGAAACTTACCCGGGAATAATATACGACTGATCATTCCGGGTATCACCATGATGAACAGTGGCAATATTTTGATCGCACCGGCCATCAGCGTGCCACCCTGAGCATGGGATAAACTCTTGGCTGCTAACGCGCGTTGAACCATCATCTGAAATGGTCATACCAGTCAGTTTACCATAGGTTGCGAGCAAAGAAAGGCATTTCGTTCATATGAACTACTGTTCGAGCATTGGACTCACTTGGTCAGCGCACCAGTACCAAATCGAGGCCGGTGTTTGTCCCAACAAGAAACCAAGCCATGGCATATCCGGATCGTCGACTTCACGCAGTAAGCGAAACGCTTTCTGTGACGGCAAACCGCAATGCAAGTTGGTCAGATTTTTGGCGTGATTGGCCAACTGGTTTAGTTGTGTGCCATTTGTCTGCTGGTATGCGTCTACCAGAGCAAGCAGCACATCACTACCCAGTTTAGTGGAAGCATTCACATGAGCAATGGCACTCCCGTAGCTGGTAAGCAAACCACCAAATCCACCAACACGAACAAAAGCTGTCATTATGGAATCAAACAGACAGATAGAGAGAGTGGAATGTTACTTTAAGACCTTGAGGTCATTTTGATTTAGACTGTCTCCTCAAGCACATCACAGCAGCACAATCATTTTTCAAGAAAACAGCTGAATAGCTTAAGTGAATGCAAAACTTAGTGACCACTAAATTGGGCGGCGCTTACATTTAAACGGCGAAGTAAGGACAAAATTATTGGGAATGGGAAATTACTTCGTTTCTTCGTTTTATGAGTTTGAGAATCATAATCATATTATTGTATTACAGTAAATTGTCGTTTTATTATCTTTCTTAATACAGGTAATTTTGTTTCGCTATCATATTGGAAGATGGCACTTTTTCGACACCGAATGAAGTAGAAAAAAATTTGTTGCTCTAAGACTTTTTTCCGATTGGTCTGTAAGGAATGCTACATCACTTTCGTTTGCACAACAAAAGGTATAATGCTTTCCATTGTCTTAAAAATTCCGGTGAAACGTATGTCTCACTAACTTTGCATTAAAAGGCTTTTGCAGAACGTTCAATTATCAAATTTCAATGACTAATGTGAGCAAGGCGAACCAAGAGTAATCTTTATTTGGACTCACACATGACAGCTAGCACCACAGCGCCGATAACCATCACGAAGAACTGGAGTGTGTCTGTATACAATACGGCAGCCAGACCTCCTAAAAATTGAAAAATTAAATGTACTTTGCTTATTAGCCAATTTGAAGGGGTATAACGAATGTGAAAATCTAATAGCATTTTTATCACGTATCTCACAGTATAGAAAAGGGACCCCAGATTCAAAAGGGGGTAGTCAGTCCCATGAAACTTGGAGTGTACAAGCAAAAGAATGCTGGAAACAGGAAATAAATTCAACCTTTCCCGACTCTAAACACGTTAATTGTTCCGACTGTAACATAAATACGACGGATTATTTTACTTTTTCCCTTTGCAATGTCCGCTTCTCTATGAATATGATAACAACTGGGACTCAAAATGTCAATTAAGGGGTTGCAGGAGCGAACCGGAGAGTAAGGATTTTTCTCTCCTCTCATTTTGGTTAGCATCATTCTGTAATCATTAAAAAAACTACGATCATTATCACAAGTCATTTGGATGCTTTTTTACTAAGATTTACCAACAAATACATACCTGTAATATTTCATCCCAGCACTTGGATCGTATGATTTGAACTCCTGTATCAATCGCGTCAATTCCATTCAAGTTGATAGTTGTTGACTCAGTTCGTGTTTTCGTCAAAGTTCCCTCCTGTTCAGTAAACTCAGTCACTCATTTTTGCTTCTTTGATCTAGAAAATTTTCTTCGTATCTTCCAATCAAAACTCATACATGTACCGATTAAAATTCTGCAATGATTTATGCTTTACCCAGAACCGTCCCGCCCTGAAATCATAAAAAGCCATTCGTTATTTAGGCGTTCTAATGAACTCTTACAAACTGGGTGATAAATCTATCTTCACTTGAGAGCTACAAGTTTTCTTGTTCGTATCTCCGGGAATTAATCACTCGTATGCATCATCAAGCTTTTCTGGAAGCGCTTGACGATGGGAGAATGACCAGATCGTGTAAAGAACCCTACGAATCTCCGTCAAAACCAATGGAAGCTTGACAATAAAACGGTACCGAATTTAAATAAAGTCAAAAGAAATAAACCCGTCCAACTATAAGCAAGATGGTTAATCTCGATAAATAAGAAAACAATGGAAAATACGAAGAACTAGGTAAACATTTCTTCCTCGGTTGAACATACTCTGAAGAGTAACATTCTAGGATATTGGACACAGTCATCCACCCACTGATCCCCTACACCTTTGTGACCTGAACGACTGCATTTGTGTGATGATCAAAGTGTGATTAGTACCTGGGCATGGAACTGAAATGTGATCTTCTCTTAATCTGCAATTAATCCTTATCCCACAAAACATTATGATATCAATTGTAATGTGTTAACCAATGTATGAATCACCGAAAGAGATCTTGTTTCTTTGGGGCTTTTCGCTCGCACAATGCATGATAGTAGTAGTATTTTCAGACAAATTCCCTCCTCCCAGGAATAATCGGAGTGCTCATATATGAATACGGCAGAAAACTACACGACCCGATAGAGCAAATTGGTTGGTTACTGAAAGCTCGATAACACTCCATCTCCAAAACCAGGCTCGACTGGCACGAATTGGTCATCCAAACATCCAACCGATCGGATGCTGTTTATGCAGCGCCGAAGTTGAACAACAAAAGGTTCCGGTGAGAAAGGTGTGATCATTCAAGAGAGCAAGAAAGTATTTCTGGCTACTGAGTGAAAATCACTGCACTTGTTATTTTACCATTTTTGAAAACGGCTTATTTACAGCTAACTGTAAATAAGTTTTAACTACCCAAAGGGATTCAGCAACTGTTGATATTCAAGGATCACGGAAAACAAAATGTCAAGCCGTTTCCTTCTCTAGTTCATGCGTATAAACTTCAACTGTTCAAAGCCCAGCAAAAGTGAAAACAAGATTCCCCAATTTTGCATTCTCTCTTGCGAAAACCACCGGAGACGAAAAACTTTTAAATAACCAAAAACTTCATCGCAAATGATGGCATTCCATCGCCATCCGAGAGCTATTGAAAGTATGTTTTCATACAAACCGGCATTGAGATAATGACAACAATCGCGAAGACCTCTATGCAGAGGATGGACTATTTTTTTCCGGGCACCAGCTTCAAAAATTCCCCAAACGCATTTGCCAAAATGCAGCTGGCATTTTTAGTACAGTAATGAGTACGAATAGATTACATTACAGTCAGATATTACTGGAAAGCCAGATCACAAAGCTGCCTCTTACAATTCAGTACCTATTTGGGGTTGAACTGCGCGTTTAAATGTACCGCATTTCCGTTGAAAAAATCTTCCATGATTAGACATCTTTCTTACGTTCCAAGAGATAATGGTACCACTCGAACAACATCAACAATCAATTGATGAAAATAAGTGCCTACGGAATAATCATTCATTTAGTTTTTTCTTCCAACTGCAATACCCGTAACTCTCTATTACGATGGAGTAGGTTCAACAAAGCGTGTATTACTTAAGACCGTGAGCTTATTACGTTCACAGGAAAAGATCACGTTGAGCGGATTGATGATACCAGTCCACTGAACAGCTGAACTTATCGTTGCATTGTTAAAACCAAGATTCAAACTTAGATTATCCTTTGAAACTAGGTTCAGTTTTCAATTTAAGACAATTCCACGCAAAATTGCAAGCGTAAAGCGCAATAACCACGAATCTCAATCATTCCACACTGAAAGCTAGCCAGATTAAATTTGATCAGCAAGTAAGTGATGCGTTGAATTCCTTCGTTTCCAATTCGCAAACGTAAACCATATACTGGGTACAGCCCAACATTTTTTCTCTTATGTTATCAAATCATGAGATTTACCTACATTAAGGCAACCAACAGTGACTTTACATGGTAAAGCAAACACCGAGTTCTTCGTGCTCATCAACTGTGTACTACCGAAATGCGCATCACCGTTGAACACACTAGTTATCTAAGGCTAACCGTCGTCTGTTTCTTAGCGACGATAATAGGACGTACCGCACGGATTAAACTTAACGTTTTCTTCTAAAATTATTTAAATAATAAAATAGCAATCCAATTTCTGATTTAATACCGACTCCTCCACCTCTAGAAAGATGGAACTTGACATACACAGATCTTTCTTTTAAATATCTCCTTATATAGTATCAGTATATTTGGACCCGAGTGTTCGCTCCGAGCATTTAATTTATCGCAGTTTACTAAACACTAGTAGGGCTAAATCCCCTCAACAAATTGCTTCTGGATATAAATAAGGACAGCCATGCTTACCAAGAATGGTTATTAGTGTAGAAAGGGATAACTGAAGTAAAATCGACCACCATATGTTCCAGTCAATAGCCTCCGCAAGAAACAATGCACCAGAGTACAAATTGACCTAAAAATCAAGATAGAAAACAAACTTTTAACTATAAGAAAATTTGTTTGGAGCAAACAAAAAACTAATAAATAGTTAAATTAAGCAATCATTCCGAGTTGAGACTCTTTAAATCAAACTTCAATAATTTGATAACTCAATCCATGTGAAACGAGGATGGGAGCTGTTTAAAAGTATTTTTATGCGAAATGACGTAGTAACCGGTTGCTGTAATGTGTCACATTTCTACTACACATGCTGAGCTGTTTAGTCATTTTTTTGCGTTGAATAAAGGCTGCAAGTAAACCATAAGTGACGTCAATAATCTGGGTTTTAGTATTTCCTTGGGATTATTTGAACACCGATTTTGATCCGTGAACACACCAAACAACATTCTACAATTGTGAAAAACACTGAAATATCCTCAGTAGCGTGTGGAAAGATTAGGGATTACGTAAACTTATAGTACTGATTTGCACATCGTCAAGGACTTTCCATCTTACTATAAGAAATACGTCAATTTACCTGCTGACCACAAAATAGTATACAAGGTCCTTGCAAAATGATAGACCACATATTTTTGACCAACTTACAGATATCTTTGTGAAAACGTATAGCAGTAATGACAGTCCTGATAGATAAACCTGGATTCTTGCACCACCAAACCGCTTCATCATGAATTCTGGCAGTGTACACACCTGAACAGTGTAACTCAGATAAGTATAAATATGCAACTTACTCCGCTGGAAATATACACTGGAAGAAATACCCATCCCAGCAGCTGGAGTAGAATTGTTGCCTGATAAAAAACAACAAGCAGAAAAACAATCAATTTTAATACGTATTGTCTTACAAGAAAGCGCGAATTAAGGGGAAATCGCATGTACTTAAAAACTGTCATACTTTTTAATCTCTCAAGTGAATGATTAAGGATTATTGTAATTATTAAGGAACAGTACAACGAGTTTCTGAAGGCACGGACGGATATCTATTATTTGCTATGCCTCGAAATCAAGGATTGTTTTCTACTACTTAGTAAAAAAAGTTAGCAAAACCCAGATTTTTCATAAGCAGCAAGGCACTTAAAATTTGTTTCTCGCTCCGACTACCATCAGAAAAATAGAAAGCATAACAGGTGAGACATTGTCATCGACATTCAACTTTTATAATACGCATTTACGACGATCGATCAGGTTGTTATAAGACCAAGTTTCAAGGACCTAGTTGAAGTGCTTTGGATAAGTTGACAGTAGGATCTCAAAAGATTAATAACTAGAAATGCTTTTGATGCTAGTGGAAAGAGAGAATAAAGGGAATAAACGGCGACTTTCTGCTTATTAGATTGTTACATTTAAGGCAAGTTCTCAGCTTTTGTGCGAAATTTACACTCGAATGTCTGTTTCTGGTTATCCAAGTAGGCAACTTTAAGTATAGCCATTAGTCGGTAGATGGATGCTACGCCTCCAGAAGCCTCAGTATGGTCTCAGGTCGGTGTCTAGGGTTTCGGCTTGTCACCCGTCCCTTGCATCTAGGAAAATGATCCCATACGACCAAGCGTCTTAAATAGCCTCTGCTGAGGAAGGCCTAGCGGAGGTGTTTTCCCCACCAAAGTGAGAGGAGAAAAAGCCGACATCCTGGGCTATAACAAGGTTAGTGAATCACTGGTAGCTCACCTAGTGGAATGGCCAAAACCCTGANACGGTTGTGGCAGTGGTTACCGGCTCCGATGAACCGGGCACGGGCTCCCAATGGATTGCGGTTTTTACACATCTCATCGCGGCCCTGCAGGTCAGGCCTTGACTAGCAGAAGGCTTCGGTTGTGGATTCCTCAAGAAAATTCACATGCCTTGGCCTGGGCAACCTGGCAGTACTCAGTTCACGTGCAAATCATGGAACGCATTTCTTTTCACTAAAGATCAGTGTACCATGATTTGCTTAGCAAACACTCTGGGTTTAGACGTGTGTTAAAATAAATATAATATAGTGGGTGCTAACGGCGTTCATTTAAAGTGTGATTTAAATGACTTTTTGTCTGGTTGAGTTGTGTAGCTTAACCTGCATCTGTTGGTAACATATAAGTGATAAATATTTCGATCATGTGAAATTGTCGAACAACTCGTTCGACAATTAAACCGGCAACTGTGTAACGATGATTACATCCATATTAAAACGCAACTCCGATCACCGTCGGTTCATTCCAAACAGGATTATCAACTACAACAAAGCATTATATTTTGAATCGTTGTCTCCGGAACCAATTGGAAATTTCTAGTAGTGTCATCTCATATCAAGACTTCGTATGCCCAAGTAACAACGTTGCATGAAAAACACGCTCATTCAAATGGCAATCTTTTTCTAACTCTAAATTATTAACTAGTGAACATCTGGACCAAATAAGACTTAATCTGGGCCAAGTGATAATCGGTGGTGGATGACTATTCATAGCAGCATTGCAAAAATCTGGTGGATCAGCCGGACGAGAAATGCTGAGGTTAGGTGCAGTTTTAGGTAGTCGCGGTTGCCCACTGGAGCAAGTGGTCGACCTCCATAGATTACGTTGATTGGGACATGAGTTACGCTTGTCACCAAATAGTTTGCCTCGGTGAGCAATGTTTCCCGAGTTAGATAGTGGATGAAAAAGCTGAGGGTGGTCAACCTAAAACCTGGCACGAGAGTACGAAGACTTTAACCAGGGTATTGGGTCACATGGATCCCGTTAGGCTCCCCGGCTAAGGACCTAAGGATGATCGTACCCGACGGTTAGAAACAATGAGTTATATGATTTTGCGTCATAAACAGTGACGTTCGTGCATTTTCTCAATTTCTTTGCAACCCTGGACCACTGAAATTTTCTATTTTCTGTTGGTCTCCACTTTCAAAATCCCTGTCTTTCACCTATTCCTCCTCCGAATGGGTAGCCAAAAGACTGCAACCGAAACCGACGCACGAAGATGTATGGTCAATGCTTGTAAAAACTGAACTGAACAGAACTTTTCACAGATAATGCTTCTATATCTAATTCACAATGAATACAATAAAATAAAACGTCCCACATTTTTCCCGTGTCGGCCGAGGGCAGAATTTTTCGTGGAAGTGATCTCATAAACTTGCGCACTTAAAGACCATTCCTTGTCAATTTTATGAAGAATGTTCTCACCAAAATGAGGATAAAATGCTAAACTCCGGAATGTAGATGGAATAGTGAGCCACAGATATACTCCGGAAAAGTACTGGACGGATATATATATCCTTGTAGGTGGAACCTCATAAAAAGTAGTAAAGTGGTGATACTCACATTTAATTCGAAGGCTCCAACTCCAAAACCAGCAGCTGCGCCAGACCCAGATAACCCAATGAAATGTTCACTGCCGATGTTACTTGCAAATAGAGAAGCACCAACCTGAAAACTCACAAGTGAACTAGATGATTTACTTACAGGTAGCCATGTCATGAATCTGCCGGCAAGAAAAAATCCACTGACTGTACCTCTTTTAGATGCAAACATAGCCTCGGAAAATAAGTTTTGCGTATATGATTTCATATATGTTAACTTACCACGAATCCAGTAAGCAGCACTCCAACAAAGTATATCACCAAAACTGCTATATCTACATTGTCTAACCTCATCACTGAAAAGGTTCTTTCTGGATCAGATCAAAGACTGAACGGCGAAAATGACGTGAACCACGAGATAACGGAAATCAAAAGACCTCCTAAAAGATTGACTTTGAGTACAACTTTCGGGATTATATAAACAAATTAGAACTCCAATGTCCAATGTCCAGTTTACAGGCGGAGAAAGCTCGTTGGCTTATAGTATTGCCTGTTTCTTGATCTATACGGTAAAGTCTAATGTTCGGAAATTTCTGTTTTTAATTCGTTTGTTATTGTAATCTGAAAATGTAAGCAAAAGAAAAGAAAAAAACAGGTTAGAAGGGTGCTTCTTGTCGGTGTAGCAGGTTAGTTACCTGTTGTCAGTTATCTGAACCGAATTGCGTGCCTTACGAGATGTACTGCGTGGACAGTCCAGAGGTCCACCTGAGATTACTTCGTGGGCACTCAAAGTTGCTGTCCACTGCTGAGGTGACGTCCATGGCGAATTTATCTAGTTTTTGCTTGAAACA